GTAGTTTAAGAGGACAACATATCAAGGATTTGTGGTATGAGGAAAAGAATATATTTGACTGAAAAAAAAAGTTATATGATTTTATGATTTATATTTTGTGTATGTGAGTGAAAGGTATCTTGATCTTCTGTGAAAATTGAAGTGTATGCTAGGATGATGAAAACACTTAGGATACATTTGTGTGAATTTGGATACATATGTATAAGTTATGAATCCGTAAGTAATGTGTTGTTATTGTTTATTGAAATTTTGACTACTTTAGATGTAGTTCATGCTATTCAAAGCTTTCCATAGCTGTTATTGTAACCTTGTCATAGATACTTTTGTAACTAAAGAAATTTTCCATTTTTGTAAAACATTATGGAAACTTTATAAAAACATTATATTGCATTGTTACTTAGTATATTATTACTTACCTTTTTTCCAGACTCAAGAGTAGCACTGAGTTGTTAATGAGGATGGTTTCTTAAAATTGCAAAAATCTTTTAATTGCAGAAGGTGGAGGAATTGTAAATTTAAGTTGACAAAAGTGGACAACAGAACCAAACAATTTTTAAAAACTGGAATGAGTGTTAAAAGCACTGAGAACCACAACAGAGAGAAATTTATGAGATTCATGTTTTCAAAGAGTGTGGCAAAAAGTAAACACACACATACACACACACACACACACAAATATTGTATTTTTTTATAATTATTTTATTCATTTATTTGTTTATTTATTTTTCATATATTTATTATTTTCAGTATTCATTCATATTGTGATTTTATCTAATAACAAACAGATATGACTAACGTCTTTCTGGCTGGCATTTATTACAACCTAAGGCAGTAAATTAAAATAAATAGATAGATAAATAAATCAATAAGTAAATTAAACAAAAGAATTACTCGAAGGGGCATAAATCACTCTAACCCATTCATGTATCAAGTACTGTATTTTGTGCTAAGGCCTATGTATTCTTACATAGACTTGCATTGTGCGTTCTCCCCATTGTGTGACTGAGCTTCTGGTTGATTATAACTATTGTGCTGTTACAATATCAGATTTTAGAAGTCAAAAGGAGCATGGAAAGACCAGTTTTCCTAAACCATAATTTATTTCTTGACTTAAGTTTTGCTTCTAGGGGTGTGAATTTTATTTTGAGTCATTTTTTCCTACTTTTTTCATCTATTTGTGTCTTCAAAGTCGAGGCCTCACAGTAGACAGCGAAACTTTGCCATCTGTTCAGACTTCCATGTAGTTTTACAGCTGCAAATGGGATTGCAAGGGAGATATGCTCGACTTCTATAAAGTTACAAGGATATTTCAAGGCTATTCCACTGAATTGGCAAGACATGATTCAAATGACTATAGCGTGACACAGCAAAAATTTTTGCAACAATGATGACTGATTTATGATGATGATGATGATGATGACAATAACAATGAAAATGAGTGACAACAATATTGATAATAATATTGATGATGATAGTGATGATGATAATATGATTAGTATTAGTGATAATGGAAATAATGACAATGACAATTATAATGATTTTTTTTACTCATGATCTTTCTAGCATTATTGCAGATGGCATCAATGTCTCCCTATTTCTTTTAAACAGAACATGAATGTTGATCTTTGTCAACATACTGATCAAAAATAAAGTGAGGAAAAAAAAAGTTACCATGTTCACAAAGAAAATGTCAGTCTTTAAGCTAATGAAAGGATTAACTGATTATTTTTCACTTGTGGATTCATTCAAAAGTTATTTTTCTTAATAGTTTCTGTTCCTGAAAATATAAACATCTAGGATAATATTAAAAAGACGGTAGTTTTAGCATTGAAGTTTACTTCACATTGAGAAAAAATAAATGTATATTTTCTATTAAGTTTACATTCAAATCTTAATAGTTATCATCCTATGGGGATAAACTTCGTAAATAAGCAATATTAATTACAAATTAACCCCCTCGAAAATAATGGAGTCCATCCATGTTTTGGATTATGCAGATAGGCCTAATATTCCATAAAAATCAGCTTGTAATCAAGAGTGCCCATAATATCATCAATATCCCTTCTATCACCTACTATCATGATTATAATACTTGAAATTCATTTAAACACTTAATTATAAAGGTCTCATTAGACAAAGTCGTGTTCAGTACATCACATACCAAACGGTCCTTTTTTTTGATCACGTGAAAAAAAAAAAAAAAAGTTACATCAGCTCCTACAATGTACTTTTTACCCCTTTTACGTCAGATATTTTTATTTTTTTCCCATGGAAGAAAATAATAAGGACTGAATCCTTCCCTTGACATTTAGTTTACATAGTCGTCTCTGGTGCAGCCTTGGCATGCATTCTCGCAATTTTTCTGGTCGCCTCCATTTTGGCACAACAATGCAGCTGAACATCCCAGGTTGCCGGCAGCTGACTGGTATACCTGAGGGATATTGAAGGATTGTTAATGGTACGTTTCTGTGTGTGTGAGGGTGGTGGCAGGGTTTTTGTTTTGTGTGTGTGTGTGTGTGTGTGTGTGTGTGTGTGTGTGTGTGTGTGTGTGTGTGTGTGTGTGTGTGTGTGTGTGTGTGTGTGTGTGTGTGTGACTGTGTGTGACTGTGTGTGACTGTGTGTGACTGTGTGTGACTGTGTGTGAGGGTAGTGGAAGGGTTTGTGTGTGTGTGTGTGTGTGTGTGTGTGTGTGTGTGTGTGTGTGTGTGTGTGTGTGTGTGTGTGTGTGTGTGTGTGTGTGTGTGTGTGTGTGTGTTTGCGTTTGCGTGCGGTTGTGTGCGTGTGCGTGTGTGTGTTTGACAGCGTGAGTGTGAGTGTGCATGCGCGCATACACCTGCATGCAAGGGGGTGCACGTGCATCTGTCACCTCGTGTACATGTTTATATATCTAAATCTATAACTCCGTCCAAACCAAAAATAACATGAAAAATATACGCTTTAAAACACAGTAACAGATGTCAGGTGATCAAAATGAAAAGAAGAGAAAAAAAAAATTAGTGCTTTATAGTAGAGTTAGCATGAGTAGCCAGTTATTCCTTTCCTGACATTGGATTTTCTGTAATTTTATGCGCGTCCAAAAATGTTCTCAGAGCGAATTGCGTGTATAAAGGATTTTGTTAACTTAACAATGCAATATCGTGAATATATCGATGCTCATGTTATAGACGAAAGTTTGAATTAGTAATAATAGATAAATAGATAAGTAATAAATAAATGAAAAAAATAAAGAATAGATGATATAATAAATAAGAAAATAGATAAATAAGATAATGAATAAATAAATAGAATAATAAATAGATAAGATAAATAAAATAAAAATTAAAAATAAATAAATAAAAGAAAAATAACTAAATAAAAAAATATATAGTAAGTAAGTAAGTAAGTAAGTAAGTAAGTAAGTAAGTAAGTAAGTAAGTAAATAAGTAAGTAAAAAAAAAAAAAAAGTTACATCAGCTCCTACAATGTACTTTTTACCCCTTTTACGTCAGATGTTTTTATTTTTTTCCCATGGAAGAAAATAATAAGGACTGAATCCTTCCCTTGACATTTAGTTTACATAGTCGTCTCTGGTGCAGCCTTGGCATGCATTCTCGCAATTTTTCTGGTCGCCTCCATTTTGGCACAACAATGCAGCTGAACATCCCAGGTTGCCGGCAGCTGACTGGTATACCTGAGGGATATTGAAGGATTGTTAATGGTACGTTTCTGTGTGTGTGAGGGTGGTGGCAGGGTTTTTGTTTTGTGTGTGTGTGTGTGTTTGACAGCGTGAGTGTGAGTGTGCATGCGCGCATACACCTGCATGCAAGGGGGTGCACGTGCATCTGTCACCTCGTGTACATGTTTATATATCTAAATCTATAACTCCGTCCAAACCAAAAATAACATGAAAAATATACGCTTTAAAACACAGTAACAGATGTCAGGTGATCAAAATGAAAAGAAGAGAAAAAAAAAATTAGTGCTTTATAGTAGAGTTAGCATGAGTAGCCAGTTATTCCTTTCCTGACATTGGATTTTCTGTAATTTTATGCGCGTCCAAAAATGTTCTCAGAGCAATTGCGTGTATAAAGGATTTTGTTAACTTAACAATGCAATATCGTGAATATATCGATGCTCATGTTATAGACGAAAGTTTGAATTAGTAATAATAGATAAATAGATAAGTAATAAATAAATGAAAAAAATAAAGAATAGATGATATAATAAATAAGAAAATAGATAAATAAGATAATGAATAAATAAATAGAATAATAAATAGATAAGATAAATAAAATAAAAATTAAAAATAAATAAATAAAAGAAAAATAACTAAATAAAAAAAATATATATATAAGTTCAAGTGACAAATAAATAAATGAAATGATAAATAAAAAGATAAAAGAATAAAAAAATATAAGGAAATAAATACAATAAAAGAGAAATGAAATAAAAATCATAAATATTTAAATAAATAAACGCATTATATGACTGTTGCTCTGAGACTTCAATCCATCCATCAGTTGTGGAATTCATGTCGGAAAAATTGCAAATAGAACAAAGAACGAAGGGATGAACAAGAAGACACAAGAATAACACATCCAGAAAGTCTTTTTGCTTGTTATTGTGAGCCCACGTAGGGATTTCTTAAGATAGGGGTGAGGATAACCTTTTGAGACGTAAGCTTTTTGTTTCAATACACATGTCAAAGTAAGTAAGTAAGTAAGTAAATAAGTAAGTAAAAAAAAGTCTTCTTGCCCTGAAGAAGCAATGAAGCGAAAAGGCCTTCGGTATATATTCTTGTATTTTCTTGTCCCTCCCTTCGTTGTTCCATCTGTGATTCATCATTGCAGAGTTGTATTAGCATTGAAAAAAAACAACAGATATTACTTACTAAAGGCCCGGCTCGCACGCCATCAGTGTCGACGCAGAAGGCATAATCGGCGCGGGTTTGAACGCTTTTGTAACTGCCGGAATCCACTTCACAAGAGATCTCGATGTTGATGTTCAACTGCTTGTTCATCCAGATATCTCGCGCGCACTCTGGAGGGGAGGGAAAAGGGGGTGGGGTGGGGGGTGGGGTGGGGGGAGTGTGAGAAAGGAAATACTTTTTAGTGTGGAAATGACTTGGGGGGGGGGGGGGGTTATACTGTGCGTCACAGGCGGCGGAGCGAGTCTATATGACGGGGGGGGGGGGGGTGCGAATGTGAAAAGGCATAGATTGATGATCTTTTAGACAAAAAGGGCCTTTCACACAACAACATGGGCATGGCACAGTTCTCACATAATCATATACTTAGCATATCAGTGTATTCAGTTCTGCGTTAAATAAATAATACCCAGAAGTAATATATACATATGGCTTCCACAATTTATGTGTGTTAACTGTGGCGATTTGCTTAAAAATAGATTACATGTCCATTCGAACTTCGCTAGTTAGGCGTTATACAATACTGTTAGTAAATCAGTTTCATGGAAACCAACATGTCTGCTGTAAGAGTGATACCCATTCTGGTAAAAGGAAATAGAGTATATTTATAGCATATATTTATTAGTCTGTGTGAACATGTAAAACCATATTTCTGGGGGGAGGGATATACTTTCGCCCCTCCAGTTCCCCCCCCGACCCCCGTCTCTGTTTATCTGACTTTATGTGTGTAGGTATTTTTGTCTGTCTCTGTCTGTCTGTTTGTCCGTATGTGTGTATGTATGTATGTACGTCAGTCTCTGTCTCTCTGTCACATAGCTTCTCTCTCTCTGTCTCTCTGTCACATAGCTTCTCTCTCTCTCTCTCTCTCTCTCTCTCTCTCTCTCTCTCTCTCTCTCTCTCTCTCTCTCTCTCTCTCTCTCTCTCTCTCTCTCACTTTCACTCTCACTCTCACTCACTCTCGTTCTCACTCTCCCTTTCCCTTTCTCCCTCTCTCCCTCCCTCTCACTCTATCGCTGCCCCCCCCCCCCTTTCATTCTCTCCTTGCCTCCCTCTCTTATTCTCTCCTTACCTCCCTCTCTCACTCTTTCTCTGCCTCCATCTCTCCCACTCTCCCTCTCTTCCTCCCTCCCTCTCTCTCCATCTCTCTCCCTCTTCCTCCCTTCCTCTCCCTCTTCCTCCCTTCCTCTCCCTCCTTCTCTCTCCCTCTCCCTCTCTCTATCCCTCTCCGTCTCCCTCCTTCTCTCCAAGACAGTTCATTAGCACAAACTACTCACGGCATCCCGATCCAGCCAGACCTGCGATGATGGTGTTCCTAGCATTGTCGTAGCATCTGCAACTGTTGGGAAAATGCTATAATAAACCACCTACTTACCTAGACATTATCCAGTTATTTTGGTATATCAATAAACTAATAATTATTGGATTATTAAAGCTATTCATCTCTGTTACTTCTTAATAAACGAATAGCTTTTTCGTCTGTTAAGTAATACTGAATGAAATGGGGGAAAAAAATCCTATTTTTCTCAGAAACAATCCACCCTCATTGCTGGCCCATCAGATGCTGTAAAATCACTGGCCCATCAGATGCTGTAAAATCACTGGCCCATCAGATGCTGTAAAATCACTGGCCCATCAGATACTGTAAAATCACTGGCCCATCAGATGCTGTAAAATCACTAGCCCATCAGATGCTGTAAAATCACTAGCCCATCAGATGCTGTAAAATCACTGGCCCATCAGATGCTGTAAAATCACTAGCCCATCAGATGCTGTAAAATCACTGGCCCATCAGATGCTGTAAACTCACTGGCCCATCAGATGCTGTAAAATCACTAGCCCATCAGATGCTGTAAAATCACTGGCCCATCAGATGCTGTAAAATCACTGGCCCATCAGATGCTGTAAAATCACTAGCCCATCAGATGCTGTAAAATCACTGGCCCATCAGATGCTGTAAAATCACTAGCCCATCAGATGCTGTAAAATCACTGGCCCATCAGATGCTGTAAAATCACTGGCCCATCAAATACTGTACAATCACTGGCCCATCAAAAAATTACCAGCCAGTGTCCCTGTTTGAACCACCACGACAGAATCTTTACCTGTCTACGGAGCACTGTTTCCCTGCATAGGACCCGTCTGCATCACAGTTCAGAAGCGTCGAGGGCCCCTGAACGCCCTTGAACGCCATCAGGTCATACAGTTCCATGTGGGCGTGGTATTCGCTCTCGCATCGCCTCAGGTACTGCGATCCAACCAGTGTCTTGTTGTCTGAGGAAGAGAGAAAGAGAGAGTGAAAGGAGAGAGAGAGTGTGTGAGAGGAGAGGGAAAGGGAGAGTGAGAGGAGAGGGAAAGGGAGAGTGAGGAGAGAGGGAAAGGGAGAGTGAGAAGAGAGAGAAAGAGAGAGTGAAGAGAGAGGGAAAGGGAGAGTGAGAGGAGAGAGAAAGGGAGAGTGAAAAGAGAGAGGAAAAGAGAGTGAAAGGAGAGGAAAAGAGAGTGAGAGGAGAGAGAAAGGGATAGTGAGAAGAGAGGGTGAGAGGAATGAGAAAGAGAGAGTGAGAAGAGAGGGGAAAAGAGAGTGAGAGGAGAGAGAAAGTGAGAGTGAGAGCAGGAGAGAGAAAAAAGAGAGATAGTGAGAGGAGAGAGAAAAAGAGATAGTGAGAGAAGGAGAAGAAATGCGAGGTATTGCGTGAACGTAAATGGTAAGGGATGAGGAGGTGACGGGCTCACACACACACACACACACACACACACACACACACACACACACACACACACACACACACACACACACACACACACACACACACACACACACACACACACACACGCACACACACACACACACACACACACACACACACACACACACACACACACACACACAAACACAACACAAACACAAACACAAACACAAACACAAACACAAACACAAACACACACACACACACGCACACGCACACACACACACACACAAAGCACATGAATGAATTTATGAATGGATTTCTATATGTGCGTACGTTTTACATCAACGTGTCAGTCCTGCAGTTTCTTCCTCGTATCTGTTGGCCGATTTTAAAACAAGATAATAGCTAAACACGCAGTGGCGTAGATATTTAACGTAGATCATTATTGTTATTATTATCATGATAACAATAATAATAATAATAATAATAATGATAACAATAATAATAACAATAATAATAACAATAATAATGATAAGAGGAAAATGAAGAAGAAATAAAAAAAAAAAGGAAGAGAGAAAAAAAGAGAGGAACAACAACAACAACAACAAACAACAACAACAATTACAACAACAATAACAAAAACACTCACAACAATCCAACCGGTCCATCGAGCCCTCTGGCAACCTGGATCCGTAAGGCGTGGCAGTTGCAGGGTCGATGCAATAACACCAGCCGTCTTCACACTGCAAGCGTTCGTAATTTCCGTTCGGTGCACAGTGCAGAGTGACCGATTTCTCACCAGCTTGTTGCAATTCCCATACCCTGCGCGAGCATTCTGGTCGGGGTAGGGGGGGTGTGAGAATAGTTTTTTTTTTTCTTTTTTAGTTATATGTATTTTTAGTATGTGTTTTTTTTTCTCTTCTTCTTCTTCTTTTTTGGATAGTAATTAAAAAAAAAATCTACGTTCAGGTCTTCTCTCTCTCTCTCTCTCTCTCTCTCTCTCTCTATCTATCTATCTATCTATCTATCTATCTATTTATCTACCTCTATCTGTCTATCTATCAATTTATCTACCTATATCTGTCTATCTATCTATCTATTTATCTACCTCTATCTCTCTATCTATCTATCTGTTTATCTACCTCTATCTGTCTATCTATCTATCTATTTATCTACCTCTATCTGTCTATCTATCTATTTATCTACTTCTCTCTATCTATCTATCTATTTATCTACCTCTCTCTATCTATCTATCTATTTATCTACCTCTATCTGTCTATCTATCTATCTATTTATCTACCTCTATCTCTCTATCTATCTATTTATCTATCTCTATCTATCTATCTATTTATCTACCTCTATCTGTCTATCTATCTATTTATCTACCTCTGTCTATCTATCTATTTATCTACCTCTATCTATCTATCTATCTACCTCTCTCTCTCTGTCTATCTATTTATCTACCTCTGTCTGTCTATCTATCTATTTATCTACCTCTATCTCTCTATCTATCTATCTATCTACCTCTCTATCTATCTATCTATTTATCTACCTCTATCTCTCTATCTATCTATCTATTAATCTACCTCTCTCTATCTACCTATCTATTTATATATATTACTTACTACAGTTCATGGTATCGTACAGTTCCTCTTGATAAGGAAATGCGTCGCCGTAGAGTCTGTTTCCATCGGGGTCCACACACACACATCTGTAGGTAGGTGTGATACAGAAGGGTTATATATGTGTGTGTGTGTGTGTATGTATTTATGCATGTATGGATGGATGGATGGATGGGTGGGTGGGTGGGTGGATGGGTGGGTGGGTGGGTGGGTGGGTGGGTGGATGGGTGGGTGGGTGGGTGGGTGGGTGGATGGATGGATGTAGGCATGTACGTATGTACGTATGTATGTATGTATGTATGTATATACGTATGTATGTATGTATGTATGTATGTATGTATGTATGTATGTATGTACGTATGTATGCATGTGTGTATGTCTGTATATGTATTACACTAACAGTATCATAAAACACAAGTTTTCTCCATAGGACATGTAACTAGACTCCTTCCTTCCCACACACCTCTGTTCCCCGTAGGGTCCCTTGCACTGCTTCTCGGTGAAGAATCCTTCCTTGGAGCACGTCGGCCTCCAGCGGTAGTCGTCTCTGTAGTCCAAGTAGAATCCTGAATCTCTCGCCTCGTCGTATTTTCTCTGTATATAGACGCAACCTCTGGCCGTCGGATCTTGTAAGAGAGAGCGAGAGAGAAACAGACAGACAGACAGAGAGAGAGGGACAGAGAGACAGAGAGAGACAGAGAGAGAGAGAGAGAGAGAGAGAGAGAGAGAGAGAGAGAGAGAGAGAGAGAGAGAGAGAGAGAGAGAGAGAGAGAGAGAGAGAGAGAGAGAGAGAGGGCGAGAGAGAGAGAGAGAGAGAGAGAGAGAGAGAGAGAGAGAGAGAGAGAGAGAGAGAGAGAGAGAGAGAGAGAGAGAGAGAGAGAGAGAGAGAGAGAGAGAGAGAGAGAGAGAGAGAGACAGAGAGAGGGAGAGGAGTTAACACGTGGTTGTTTTAGTTAGGTTTAGGTCTTGGGAAATAAGGTATGTTCCGCTGGGGAGAGGATTGTTGTATATATATATATTCTTTTTTTTACATTTTTTTCCATTGAATTTGATGTGATTTTTTTGCCTGATTTCTACCTACGCATTTCGCGCAAAGCACTTACCTATCTCGCACTTGCGTCCTCCTCCACAGGCTATGTTGTATCCGCACCACGAAGACTTAATAACATTGTCCTGCGTGTAGAGGTTCTCCTCAATGGAATTCCTGAGATCACGGAGTTTTCTCCAGGGATCTGTGCAGGTGCCGCTCTGGCCGTAGATGCCATACCCGCCGCAGTATTGTGGGTGGATACTGCCCGTGCACGTCTCGCCCAAGCCTGCGAAGTGAGGAGGCCTTGGCTTGGGAGTGGCTTACTATATACATGCGTCCGTACTCACACTCATACGTACACACACACACACACACACACACACACACACACACACACACACACACACACACACACACACACACACACACACACACACACACACACACACACATACACACGAACAAACACACACGAACACACACACACACACACAGATGCATACACGCAAACATATAAACAAATAGAAGAGACATTCAAAAAGTTCAAAGCCCGACTATGAAAGAGCAGGAAGTTGACAAACCTCATGTAAAGTAACCAATAAATCCTCATTCAAATGCAACGTTCAGTGGTGTAGTCTGTAACAGGTTATCTTTGAATTAGACTGGGACTTCAGTGGACGTGTTTCAACAACGATCGGTTATCAGGTTTTGGTAATATTGATAACGAACAGGTTGCGGCAACAAGGACAGTGCTCCTGTCTTCACGACGGTCAAAGAGTGGGCAGGTCTCTCCAATGCTTTTCGAAAGAGCGCCCAAGATGAGGTAGGTAGTCAGCTGTATTTTGTACTGGCTGAGTAGAACGTGAAGAATATAGAGGACTTGGGGATGGAGGACAGACGTGTGTCATTCAGAGCCAAGGCTGCTGAAGTAAGGCCTGTTTGGGTCCACTGATACAACCTTTCATTACTGTCTCTACTGAAGGTCTGGTTGGGTCAGCATTTCACGATCGTTTCTACGTGCTTCGAGTTGACGGTACGATGGAATCTCCACTTCGGACCTTCCTGAGCAGATGTATGTTCGCTGGGTGGATGTCACATGAAATCTTTGAGCCTTTTGAATGTAGATCAGTGGTTCTCAATCTTTTTTCAATGATGGCACCCTGAATTTATATAATACTTTCTGTGGCACCCCTTTTTCACCATCACCCCTCCTCACATGAATTAACTTCTGATATAAAATTGTACCTGTTTGAATTACTTTAATTAATGATTTAAAATTATTATCCGTACTCAAACCAAAATTAACATATGATGTACTGTAGTACATGCCCAAACATAGAACTCGTCAGTAGAATTAGATTCAGAATATTAGATTAACTTAAGAGTTATAAATGCAAAGTAGCATAAAAAGAAGAAGAAAAAAGGCATGATAATCACTGATAGTCAAATAAGCAAAACAAACAAAAGCTAACCTGATTTAGTGAGATACATGTGCTTGATGTGACTGACAGATCCTTTACAGTAGTAGTAGTAGTAGTAGTAGTAGTAGTACAAGTGTACAAAAGGAAATATCTACCTATATTTTAGTAAAATATTAGAGCAAGTAACTTCCTACACCGACATTTAATTATAGGCAGACTGCTACAAACTGTTTTACAAATGTACCTTGAAACGATCTAGCCAAGACAAAATTCATGGCAATCTTGTGGCACCCCTAGGCGCTGTCCGTGGCACCCCAGGGTGCCGCGGCACCCAGTTTGAGAACCACTGATGTAGATCCTGAGGACGCTTTGGACCAACCAGGGTACTTCATTTTGATCCGAAAAGCCAGGCTGAGTCCTGTCAGTAGTTATCGCCATCTAACAAGTGCAATGGTCATAAAACCAGGGGTAAGGCCATGTTGAGTGACTTTTTGGTGAACTTGCTCAAGCAATGTCACGCAATGAGATTTTGGAGCCTTTTTTATGGAAGCTTTGGGCCGGAATGGCCTGGAAATGCTGAGGCTGTGTCCAGAACATTACATTTACATAAACAAAGCCATCATCTACAGGTCTTAATTACTGACACATATGTCCTTTTCTCCCGGCCTTGTACTGTCATACTATCCCATATATGAAGAAACAGAACCATGGTATATGTTTGCAGAAACTTGGGCTATGGACTTTTTGAATGTTTCGTGTGTATATATACAAATGTGTGTGTGTGTGTGTGTGTGTGTGTGTGTGTGTGTGTGTGTGTGTGTGTGTGTGTGTGTG